GACTCACTTCATACTCTTGCAGTTAGAGAAATGAACGACACAATGCACAAGAAATTAATTTTTGTAAGGACGCTTATTTCGTGCACGCGGCAATGCTTTCTGCAATGTTGATACTCGTTTTACGCAAGCATTGTCGAAATATCCACATAATTCGTAGCATAACACCACACCACACGGCAGTCGAACGTAAAGCTACACTAGTACTTCTGTTTTACGTGTTCATATACCTCTACACGTGTCACGATTAGTTTCAAGTATATAAGAACATCCGTAGCACTTGTTGAGGTTCTCCGTACGATGCAATCTTAGTCCTGACGCTAAATTTAACGGAAATATTTCAGTAACTGGAAACTCGACTCCAACTTGCACAAATATTTTATAATTAGCGGAGGAAAATCGAGAGTAAGTGACTTTATCATTGATATCTAACATTAAATTCACAGGCACATACTTTATTACATTTACAATAGACTTATGATATGAAAGGAGTTATAATTTTTACATTTAAGTCTATGAGAAGAGGTGGCAACGCTGACGCACGAACGTTGCCATCGTGTTTAGGATGGACAAGGGAATTTTAATGTTATTTTAGCTTTACTCTTTTGAATTAAAAAATATACATATATATTATACACATTTATACCTAAAATTTGAGAGAGCGCATGACATATAAGAAACGAAAAATGTGACGTTTAGTGATTTAGTGTAGTTTCCCCTTTATCAATCGTTTTCTCTTAGAAAGGAAAGCGTCTTCCGAGCTGTAGATTTGGTGGCCTCCGCTCACGCAGGGCGTCGGCGATACGTTTTCGGAAGTAGGGACGTATGTGCGTGTGTGTGTGTGTGTGTGTGTGTGTGTGTGTGTGTGTGTGTGTGTGTGTGTGTGTGTGTGTGTGTGTGTGTGTGTGTGCGTGCGTGCGTGCGTGTGTGTGTGTGTACGTGTGTGTGTGTGTGTGTGTGTGTGTGTGTGTACGTGTGTGTGTGTGTGTTTGTGTGTGTACGTGTGTGTATGTGTATGTATGTACGTGTGTGTTTGTGTGTCTGTGTATGTGTGTGCGTGCGTGTGTGTGTGTGAGTGTGTGCGTGCCTGCGTGCGTGTGTGCGTGAGCGTGTGTGTGTGTTTGTGTGTGTGCAGTTTACGAAAATATTCTCTGTAGTTTTTTTTTCTTTTTTTCTTTTTTGCTGTGACATGGTTACTAATCACCACCTTATCCTGTTTTATTGTGTACTGAATGATGGGCCCTACAGAGTAAGTGGCGAGCTTGGTGCGTAAGGCAGACGACAAAGGTGTTGCTCCTTGGCTTCCTGCATCTTGCCTGTCATCTTGCACAGTATGAGGATAGTCGTAAGTCACGTCTTTAGCAAGTGACAATCGGTGATGAAGAAGGAAGTGTTACAGCAACACACAGCCTTGCGGAAGGGAAAACACAGCACAACACTGGTATGTTTAGTGTGACAGGAAGAGACGCATTGAACAGACAAAGCAATACTTATATGCATATATATGTGTATGCGTAGGAGTATGTATGTAACAATATGTGAGATAATGTAAGTTGTGGAGAATATAACAATAGCTATATAAAATAACATTAGCATACATATTTCAGTAACATTATATATATAAAGCTGGGGTACAGTCATGACATAAAATAAATGTATTCTAATTTGTGGTGTGTGTGTAGGGGGAGGGGGGGAGGTTATTTAATATACACTCATACAAAATGCATCTTTACCCATCTATAAGATGGATAAATAGATACATTGTCGTCCTATAGAAGAATTTCTGCTTGGCTTGGCAGGAATTTATTAGTATCATCATTATCATTATTATTTTTTTATCAGCGACAGCATTATTATCATTGGTTATTAATTTCAATAATATAATTAGTTCACTTATTTTTATCGTCATTATTGTTATTGTTCTTATCATTATGATCACCATCATCCTTATGCCTATCTCTGCTGCTATTGTTGTTGCCGCTGTCTTTGTATCACGTATTATATTCATGATGAGTGATACAATGAAGTCGCATGACGTCACCAGGCCCTTCAGCAAACAAGACAGAATTGTTCTTTATGTTTCTCTCGAAGCTTCCGCGAACCAGCAGAGCGGAAGAGAGCGGAAGCCGCCATCGGATCTAATTCAAAACGAATTCCACAAAATGAAGGAAAAAAAAAAAGAAAAAAAGAAAAAGTAGAAATTCTGTGATTTTTTTTTTAGTAACCATATAGGGCGCCTTGTGTCCAGGTATCGGCTCATGCGTTTGATTATCTTTTAGATGCAGAGATGAAGAGGAAAATCACAAAATCTGTCATTATGAAAAACAATTATACACACACAGACACATACACACATATAAGCATATATATATATGTATGCATATATGTATATATATATATATATGTATATATATATATATATATATATATATATATATATGTGTGTGTGTGTGTGTGTGTGTGTGTGTGTGTGTGTGTGTATCTATATGTATGCACACGCAAA